AGAATTATTATTAGGATTTGGCAAAATTCGAAAAGAAAAAAAGAAACCAATTTGAAAATCAAATTATTAAGAAAATAAAAAACGGTCAAAAGTTTCGTTTCTCAAGCCTCGTCGCTGTTCCTCGATCAGAGGATGCTATTGTTCTTTCTTCAATTGATTTTAACTTTTTTAAATAGATCAGAACATACGTGTTGTAACAACACGCGTGAAACGTTACAAAATCACCATTCGTTTCCGATTTTCGTGATTCGAGTCGCAACGAGGCGATGACGAAATCGCTCCAATAACAAGAAACACAGCGGAGCTGGATCTAAAAAGAATTAAGAGATCTAGCCTAAATTGTGTACTCCCTGTGTTCGTGTGAGGATCGAGTTCGCAGTTAGACTTCGAGTTAGCAGCGAAACTTTTAAATAAAATGCAAATAGCGGCCGAACTTCGTTTCGTAGTACACCGAATTTCTCACCTCTTTTTTTTTTTTATAATATACAAAAAATTATTTTGTATGCAAGGAAGGGACACATTCTACTTTTTTTTTTTACAGGAAAGTTATTTTTAAAAAAATTTGCTTTTCTCCCGTTCCTGACGAGTTGGATAAAATGTACATATAAATAAAGTGTAATCCGCATAAAGTCACTAAGTTTATATATATATATATATATATCTTTAAAATGATAATTTTTGCATCTTAAAACTGAAATTTTCGAATTCTTCGAGTTCGCCGAAAGTTTAAAAAAAATTCGATGTATTTGAAAACGAAGTTCAATCAAGATGGATAAATTTGTGTGTAGATTTTTACACACGTACACGTACAACGCACTTCTTTGTATTTTGAACACAGAAGAAAGTGACCATTTGTATAATAACGTTATAGCAAATACGTAATGGCAGATGTATATCTTTTGAACGTAAAAATGTGAGAATCTAAATCGTCAGAAAGCGATTCCTCATTGATCCCGCGAATAAAGACTTGGAAACTTGGCTGGCGCGTCTCAATAAATGCACACGTACGGGATACGCTATTTTTAATAGTTCGATAGAGGACGAATTACTATTCCATTTAGTCGAGAAGAATCATTCGCAAATTTATTGGAATTTGCCGATCGGGAGAAGCTCCTTTTCTATTTGAAAATTTTACTTTAAACACCTGTACTCGAATAATTGTTAAATGTTAATGATATAATTTGCAAATGATATATAATAATTGATCATTGTATATAATCGTATACAATTATTGTATTTAATATATACAGTTAACACATTTACTAGTAATATATCATAAATAATTGTTTTGTTATTTTGTCATTCTTCTTTCTGCTGTTATTATATAATTGTATCTTAGCAATGTCTTTTAGTTAAAAAGTGAAACGGAAATTGTGTTTCACAAATTGTCAACTGCAAGCGTTACTTTAAATATCTTAAAATACCTTATTTCAGCTCTTATTTCTTTCATTCGACGTCCTACATTGTCAGGACTCGTGACTATTCTCTATCACTATTCATTTCAAATTTAAGGAATTTTTATTATTAGTAATTTCCGACTGAAATTCATCCACATGTAAATTAAATTAGTAAGTGAGAAAGGAAAGCATGTCGAGCCACGAGTATTAATTTGTCTATTTAGCATAATGTTTCTCGTGATTCAGTGATCTGCTAACGCAGCGCGGCATCATTCTCCATTTCTGCCAAGAATCCAAGCATCGATCATAGATTGTAAATGTAAATAGTGCGCAAATGAAGGAGCTTTGTATTTGATCCTTTTAATTTATTTCTTCTTCACTGTATTGCAATTAGATTCGTTAGTTTCAAACAGCTTCAGGATTGTGTGTGTTGTCGCTTGTTTCATAGGGAGACATTGTCCAAGCAATTGAAGTTGAATTGTGTAGTGTTTACTGTAAAAGTATATAGTAAACACAATGTAACAAAGAATATTGTACAAAATGTAAGAGAAAATTGATGAACGATCTAATAAGAAAATTTCACAATTGAAAGTCATAAATAATATTTTCAGTCAAATAACTATTTCTTTAGTTCATATTTAACCCATTAGAAATATATATTTGCGTAAAAATTCATGATCTATGAATTACCTCAACTAAAATAGTAACGCAGCTTGCGCAGTTATTAATATTCAACGAAGGAGTATGTAAGTGGAATACATATAAGAAACAAAAATCTATCAAAGGAAGTAAAACTGGATGCTCAGACAAGATCCCCCTCTCGCATTCTATTGCGCCTAGATGTTCTAATATACAGAAATGAACAAAATTATCAGCATAAGCCAGAGTTTCCTGTAAATCTAGAAAACTTACCATTTTTTATTCAATTTCTTTCTTGTAAAACAGTTATGGTTCAATGTATATAAATAATAATGTAAAAGTAATAAAAGATATCTTCTGAAAAGGTTTTATGAATTGTATTAGTAATGTTATATGCAGACTAATCTGTACCAGATTATACATTTCTTTAGCTATTTCATGTTAAAATACTTTTTTCTTAATTGTTCAACTATTTTCAATCCCCACTTTTTATATACATTGCATTTTAAATGAACTACAAAATGCACCACTCAAAAACTTTTAATATTATATTTTATTATTATACTATATTCTTGTATATATTAACTATTATAATATAATATAATATTAACCATTATATTATAATATATTGTATATATTAACTATTACATTAATTATTATATTCTTGTATATATTAATCATATTTTTGAAATTGTATTGAGTATAATTTATGCTTTTCTCCCACAAAATGGATAAGTTATACTTATTTAAAAGCGTGGAAACAGTAGCAAACTGATTTATTTTTGTTTCATAACAATCTAGAACTAATTTAGTACAAATTTATTTTAGAAAAATTGAGCATCAGCCAATTTCATTTGATTGCATCCCAATTCTGTAAAACCAGAGTACAATGAAATAAAATTCTATGAAAGCAATAAATGTTTAATTTCACATGCTTCTAATTAAAATTTCAAAATCAATCAAAACTCAATGGTAGTTTTATAGTTAATGCTGTGTGTTTTACAAAAAGATTAAATAAAAAAATCGTGCTTTGTTCCAAATTCACAGGAAAATTTCTAGGAACTAATCCAGCGTACTAGAAACTAATCTAGTATATAATTTTGTTCATCGCTGTACGCTACTATTCAAACTTCGTGCACAGTCCGGCTGGTGCAAGCTACACGCTACTGCGCGTCAAAAAAGGATCAACAAAAGAAGGGCTATGACTCACTGCTTTATTCGGGCTTTGGCACGACCTTCTAGTGACTCTGAATGTCCGTCCGCAAAACGTTTTCGCGCGCACAGCGCGACTCGAGGCTTATTAAAAGAAGAAGAACAAGAAAAAAAAAAAAAAAAAGAAGAGAAGAGAAAGAAGAAAATGAAATTACAGAAAAATGAAAAAGAACGAAACATGAAAGAGGCAAGAGTTGAAAATCGCCGTTTCTTCGACGTGAAAGACAAGAGAAGAAATTTCCATCACGAGAGAACGCGCGCCCCTTAAAAATACGCGAGCAACAGTTTAACATTCAGTCTTGTCCTGCTCCATTTCTCGACGAACGACTTTCGACGATGGCTCTTCTTTCTCTTAAAATCCACGCAGATCCACTGCTCTCCTTTTTCTCTTCTTGGTTTCTTTTTTTTAAGCTTCTCTATGAAGATTTATTCTTCCACTTTCCTTTGGCAGCTTCATTTAATATCATCTCTGTATCGCACGTTGTGATTTGCAACGAGCAACGCTGTTAATTAGTTATGTACAATTTTCGATACTGACTCGATCTTCTTTATTAAAATCCTTGCAGATCCACTGCTTTCGATGATTTTTGCCATTTTTTCCTAAGTTCCTATATAATGTACAAAGTCCTCCTCACTTCACTTAAACTTTCTTCAGTAGCTGCAAGTCTTCACTTAACGTTTACTATCACAAACAACTCTATCAATTAAACTATATCATTCATCACTTGTTTTTCCTTTACACGGTGGTTTTTGTATTCGTTAATTTATAAAAGACACTTCGCAACGTCGCGAGTAAGTCGAGCTATTAATTGATCAAGGTGAACACCGATACTAGAGATCCTCTCTCTAAGACTGGAGGACGTGTACAGTTCACGATCACAAATCCAGAATTTCCTCATCATCGGTATCCGTGAATCGTTGAAATAGAAACATATCTTCTAGTCTCATCGAACGAGATCCAGCACAGCGGTCTGTATTCCTCGAATACACATCACGCCAACTAAACGAAGAGGCTCAAGCCACTTTTATTACTGTTTATCCGTCCTCGTGGCTTCCTCGAACAAATCGTCGAACACCTTGTCAACATCCGCGGTGTTCACGTTTAACAATGGCACTTGCTGAGGGGCAGGTATCAAAAGAGTTAATTTCTCATCAGTTAGACCAGGCATAGTGCGACTACGAGACAGTCCAATCATTCCTTTAGACGAGAATCTTGGGGATCTCCTATGTCTCAACGGATCTTTCGTTTCTAGATGCTCGCCAGGTTGATCGAAATACTGTCTAATCTTATCCTCCATCTTTTTCACGCTATCCGCCATTGAAGACGCTTCGAATTGTTTGGACCTTAATTTCTGCGAAGACGGAGACCTTGGTTTAGGTGGTTTAGGATGTGTAGATGGTAAATGTTGGCTAAACGAAGACGCTGACGCCGGCGTATTAATTTTTGATGGCCTGGGATAACGATTGGAGAGAGCCAACTGATGCCAGGATTCTGATTTCGAGAGCACTATGGATCTCGAGTGTTTATTCGCGCAGGAGGCTAAGTATTCGTCGCTGGAGTCGATGGTCGCTGTTTCGTTTGGAATTGGCGAACGTTCCTTGTGAATTGGTTTCGTTTGAGAGTTAGGCGCCTGTTCGTAGGCCTCTCTTAACGCAACTACTCGATTCACGGTCACTGGACCTGGTGAATGTGAATCTGCTCGAGATGGTTCTACCTTCTTTTGAGGAACTGGTGCTAGGTATTTGGCAAATCGACTTGGTCCTTGGAAACCCGGTGGCCGATCAAAATTTACTGGTCGATTATAACTTTGTTGTTGATGGATGCTGTGATTGAAATTTGGTTTTAAGTGGTGAACATTTTGAGTTGGATTTACAGGTTGCTGATGACCTAATGGTTTGCTTGTCTGTTGTTGGTAACCTGAAATAATACTTGCTTGATTATAACTCTGTTGTTGATGGCTTGATACAATGTTTGATTGATTGTAACTTTGTTGCTGATGATCTGGCACAGTATCTGATTGATTATAACTTTGTTGATGACTCGGTATAATACTTGGTTGATTGTAACTCTGTTGCTGATGACTCAATTCAGTATTTGTTTGGCCGTAACTCTGTTGTTGATGAAACGAGCTAGGAGATTGACTCGATGACTTAGATTGAGCTTGATTAACGGTCAGGTACGGTCCGAAATTAGAAGATTGATGCGGCGAATCGTTCAAGGAAGTGATTTCATTTTGTAGACGTCGAACCAAGCTCTGTTGCAACAAATTATGCCGACGAATTTCATCCTCCGAAGCAATGGTCTCGTTGGTGGGTGGTCTAGACCTGGACCAAGAAAATTGTGAAGGCGAGGGAGACGAAGACGTCCTTGAATCCATCGCCACTTCCTCTGATCGAGGCTCGGGACTATCTGTCGACGATGCAACTGTCGCTATGGCACACGTATACCTTGTAACCACTCCAATCTCTGGACTGATGTCCTGATTTTGAATATTCTGATCGTCTGGGAAACTTGAGCTTTCTATGGACCAGTCTGGTGTTTTCTGAACGTCTTCTCTTTGTTCCTGTGTATCTGACACCTCGTCACACTGATTGCAATTGGGCAAAACAGGGGAAACGAGAGGAGAAGAGTATTCTTGGTTAGTTTCAGGCTCATAGCTCTTTACAGGATTTTCAGACAATTGTTGCTGATAATTCTGCGTTCCCTGAAAAGGCACAGTCTCTCTGAAATCTTGTTCACCGTTCGCAGTCTGATCTACCACAGGATAGTCGGTAACTACTACAGGATTACTGAACTCAGAATCAGTGGGCACAGTGTGATAATTTTGATTATGATCCAAAACGAACCTTTGACGATCCTCAGATGTTTGATCAGAGTCCGATTGTTCACCATACAAAGGTTTCCACTGTTTTCCACTTTCTACGTCGTTCACTGATATCGTTGGTTTATCCAATTCATTAGAAGTTTGCACAGCAGCGTTGCTACAAATCAAATTCGAACCCTTAGCGATTCTAGGTGCTACCCTGAAGGATCTCCCTTCGTCCTGATGTTCCTCGTTAATTCCAGTTTGCACAGCCACGGAAGAGCTACCTCTCAACGTGGTGTCAGCAAAATTATTCTCGCCTTTCTCAGCTTTTATCGTTTCGAACTTCTCTTTCGATTCTCGACGCTCCATAGGAGGATACTGTTGAGTCTGAACACGTTTGTCTGGAACCACTTTGAAGGTGATCTTTCCATCCACCACTCCAGCAACTCTGTCTCGTTGAACCAGCTCTCGTTGACGTTGCTCGTCCAGTTTCCTCGATTCTATGGAAGAAGTTTTTCCAACAAATGGGGCAAACTGCTTACAAAAAGATTTATAGTCTATTTTACCGTTCTCCGTGACCGTGTTGTTGGCTCTGTTCTCGCTTCTCTCGTGTTCTATCCACGGCGGACGGGGAAAGCCAGGCTTCTCGAAGTTGGCTCTGAAAGATTTCGCGGATTGTTGCGTTGTTTCCTTATCGAACATCATTCTTGCTTTCTCTTTCAGCGTATTTGTTGGCACTGGGGCATTCTTTGGCCAGTGATAAGATGGTGGAACCTTGGATGGCGATCCTGGAGAAGATTTTTCTATTTTACGGAAAGGAGACGATGGAGCGTGCCTGAAACCTGTCGTGGACTCCATCTTCGTTTGGGGATTTGCTGCGGTATAGTTTGGATTAGAATTGGAATAACCTTGGGTCTGGACTGGCCCGGGGAACATTTTGTTCGCCCGAGACTTTAAAGAAGGCTTATTATCTTTCTCTTCACTCATCGTCGGTTTGTCGAATGTTGTTTTGATATTGGAAAATTTACTGTTCCAATTCTCGTTGGTTAACGATGACATGTCCATAGTGCGTCCAAAAGTCTTGAAAGGGACCACCGGTGCGACCGACGGTGTTTCGTTATTTTTATTGATCAATGCCAAGAATTTTCGATCGTTCTCCGTTTTAGGTTGAAACGTAGGCACTGTGACGTTCGCACAGTTAAACGACTTGTCTCCAACACTGATCGGTTTCCTCAAAGACACGCAACCTGTACCTTCGCGTCCAAGGGTCTCAGCTTGGAGCTTCAGGTAACTGGGAATATCAATGGTATTTGCTCGTTTTATCTTTGATTTCTTCGCGATGAATTTATTGCCGTGCCCGTATTTCTCACCAGAAGCTAATTCAGCTCGCTGTCGAAGAATGGCCGCCAATTTGCTCACACGACTCCTCTCCTCGCTATCCTCAACGATACTCTCGTTATTCTCTCTCTCTTGGTAATTGTTGTTAGCTCTGTACTGAGCCTGGTACATATTCAACTCTCCCACAGCCTTGGTATCGCCTGCATCCGCCTGTTGAATCCCACGAAACGCACAACTATTCTCCCGAATAAAAATCTCCTTGTTCTTATCCTCCAACAACTGTCTCTGATTTATCGCGTCTTTCGTGCACTTGTCGCGGATTTCCTCAGGCTTCCTCTCGACTATACTAACCGTAGACACAGTAGCCTGTTCCTTCTGCTCCTTCGCGACAGTCGAAACCTCCTTCAAAGGCAAGCTGTTCCTCTCTTCTTCCAGCCACTTTCTAGCTTTCGCCAATTCCTCCGCAGAAACGCCAATGGTATGCCTGGTTAATCTTCGTCTTCTGCTGAGGGACGTCGACGGTAGCAGTGGAACCTTCTCCTTGGTCTCTTCAGGCATCTGTAGCCTGGATAATAAACTGGACACCAGTCTTAATAACTGCAATTTACTCGTAGGATCGGAAGCTGCACCGTGTCTTGCCAAAGCGTTCACGTCGATCTTCTCTAACGTCTCTCGGAGACGCGACAGAGCAGTCTGTATGTCGGACAACAGCAAATCCTCGAGGAACTTCAAGTCTTTTTTCAACTCTGGCTCCTTGCAGCTGCCAAGGGCTTGTCCCATCGAGGTACGAATGCGGAAGTCCTCCTCGGAGTCGACGCCAGAGTCCTCCGGAAGTGTCGGCGGCTCGTCCTCGCGACGACCTCCTCCTAGGGAACGTTCGAGAGCCGCGCGTAGACGCTCGACCAGTTGCGGCAATGAATTCCACTCACCGACTGGCGCGTTCTCGTTCCGTCCATCGATGGTACCTGTTGTGGTTGCTTGGTTTTTCGTCGTGGGTTCTTCGTGTTTGATTTTCTCGTTGTCGTTGTCCACGGTGCTCGAACTCGCTGAAAAAGAAACGACACGAGACGGGGGTTGAACCGAGACACGACCTGAGAACACACACAGAGCGCAGAGACGACACACGAGGATGCGAAGTTACGCGAAGGATCTGGTATTTTTCTCTGTCTTTTTGTTCCATTTCTTTAGTTAGTGTGTGTGTGTGTGTGTGTGTGTGTGTGTGTTTCTTTCTTTCTTTCTTTTTTTTTTTTTTTTTTTTAGATGAAGAAAGAAATATCTTTCGAAAATCTAGTTTTTTATTTTTGTTCGACAAAGAATAAAGTGTATTTTTTTTTTTTTTT